CAACAAAGAGATATGCCGTTATTGAAGCAAGGGAAGACAGATGGGGTGGGCCAATAAAAACAGTGACCATCTAGTGACCATCAGTATAAACGGAAATGGGATGAGCATTTAGGAAAAACAATTGAAACACATATGTGAAGAGTCTACTCTTCCAAAAAATATGCAATTATGTTTATCTAGATTCTTCTCCAGACAACTCTTCTAAAAGAGCTGCTCCTTCCTCTCCCATTCGAAGTCTGGATATACACAGTTGTGGCACATTAATGCATATAGGGCTGCAACCTACTAATCGACCAATAATAATCGATGAGAATAGTTGTCAACTATTCTCATCATCGGTTAGTTGGTTGGATCCCCTAACCCTCTCATCCATGCTGGGAGGAGGGCACAGCAGGTAGTGGGTGGGTGCAATAGCCAGCCTGCTATTGGCTATTGCAATTTGAAATGGCCAATAACAGGCTTGCTATTGCACCAGCGCACTACCTGCTGTATTTACATTCAAGCTGCTGTCTGCAGAATCTTGCCAATGGCAGCTGTCATTCCCTGGCTGAAGCTATACAAGCGCCGAATGATTACAATTCAATTATTTAAAAAAAAAAATTAGATAGATCCATCTATCTCAATGGTGGGGGGAAAAAAAAGTCATCTTCCGTTTCGACCTGACAAATTCTGCTGCGGGAGGTGCGTTGCAGTGCCATTCATTTTTTAATGGCACCCCAAATGCACCTCCCACCCACAGTGTGATCACCCGCACTGGAATGCACAGTACCACAATGCCATGCACTCCAGTGCAGTGTGATTGCAAAAAATTGTGCATGCAGTTTTATTCTGACGTAAACTTTATGTTTGTAACACTGCATTGGTGCATTTCATTTTAAATTAAAGAATGGTATTTATTAACGGGAAAAAATAATTGGCCAACTAATTGATTCGTAAAATAACCATTAGTTGCAGCCCTAAATGCATATACAAATGTGCATAACGCACCTTTTCAACAATTATATGATCCCAGTCTGAACGCTGAGGTGGAGTAGTGGAAAAAAAAAAAAAAGACATTGTTAAAAGGTGAAGTTTACACTAAAATGTACTATACAAACAAAGGGCCACAGTTGGATAAAATACATACAACTGTTTCTAAATGTATTTTGAATATCTGCATGCCACTTTTAGCACGCCTGAAGCCTGGCTGAAAAACTTGCACAGAGTTGCCATTTGATGTCATGTCTAGTTTCCAGGACGTGCCAGACATTGAACGCTCGCCCCCCGCATCACTGGAGTGAAGTCATTTGTTCAAAAGCCACGCATGCACAGTGCGCTCTCTTCCCCCATCATAGAAGCGGCTGAGCTCACCTGCTGCTACGATAGGGAAGAGAGAGCACTGCACAGTGCAATTGCAACTGGGGCCTCTGACTGCATAGTAAATCTTAATCAGAAGGTGAACAGATTCCTGATCCTGATCAGACAATCACACTAGCTGCCACCACTCACATATTATAGATCTGCGAGAGACTAACATCATATTCAGAATGTCTGCTTCCCAGCAGATAACAGGGTTGTACATAATTTTCTGTAACTCTAGCAGTTAAAGATGAACTAAATAGCGCATTTAAAAAGATAAAATAACAAAACCAGCATTTGTTACAATATATCACCTCCAATCCAGAGATTTTCTTTCAGGCACTGTCCTCAATCTGATATACAACGTCATTCAACTCCCTTCCTCTGAGCCCAGGTCACCCTAGACTCACCCTAATCTGTTGCTGGACAGTGAAAGAAAAAGCACATTGATTGATTGAACTCATCTCTATCACTCTGTTCTCTCTTCCTATCATCATGCTCCTTGTCAAACATGAACTAACAAATTCCTTGAGCAGCTTCTTCCTCTCGCACTCCAGCCCTTTATATCTGTCTAAAGTCAGATTAGAATTTTAATTGGACAGAGATTCATTAGTTCTTTCATTTTTAGCAATCTTTCTTTCTTTTTTTTATTATTCATTCATGGGAGAATTACAGCCATTGAAGTGCCCATTATGTAGAAAACTAAAACATGCACACTTGTTTATCGGCCACACAGCACAAACCGATATATCAAGACCTATGCATATTTGGAATCCCTAAAATAATTTAATGAAAAATATTTGGAATAGTGATAGATATGGAAAGATAAAATAAAGAAATTAAACTGACTTTATTCAAAAGATATTCAATGTATTTAATTAAAAAAAAAAAAAAAAAAAAAAAAAAAAAAAAAAAAATTTTC